CTGCACCATAGACTCATCACTGCCCCATAGACTCAACACTGCACCATAGTCTCAACACTGCCCATAGACTCAACACTGCCCATAGACTCATCACTGCCCTTAGACTCATCACTGCCCATAGACTCAGCATTACCCATAGACTCAACACTGCCCATAGACTCAACACTGCACCATAGACTCACCACTGCCCATAGTCTCACCACTGCACCATCGACTCACCACTGCTGTGTTTGTTGTACTTCCCCACCCCCGCACCTCCGAAAAGTACGGTTGACTGCGTACAGCGCGAAAGAAGTCCACCATAGATACATCAGCAGCACGCCAAGCCCATTCCGGGAATCGCCTCCCCCCTCCTCACCCCCCTACTCCTCACCCCCCCCACCACCCTCCACTCCCCATTCCGAAGCACGCTACACCTGCGACAAGCTCGGTGAACGTGAACCCCGACACTGCAACCCCGACACAGCAACCACAGCAGGGCAACCCCGAGACGTGGGCAGTGCTGAGTCTATGGTGCAGTGCTGAGTCTATTGGGCAGTGATGAGTCTATGGTGCAGTGCTGAGTCTATGGTGCAGTGTTGAGTCGATCGGCAGTATTGAGTCGATGGGCAGTATTGAGTCGATGGGCAGTGTTGAGTCTATGGTGCAGTGTTGAGTCTATGGGCAGTGTTGAGTCAATGGTGCAGTGTTGAGTCTATGGGCAGTGTTGAGTCTATGGGCAGTGTTGAGTTTATGGTGCAGTGCTGTGTCTATGGTGCAGTGTTGAGTCTAAGGTGCAGTACTGAGTCTATTGTGCAGTGTTGAGTCTATCGGCAGTGTTGAGTCTATCGTGCAGTGTTGAGTCTATGGTGCAGTGTTGAGTCTATGGGCAGTGTTGAGTCTATGGTGCAGTGTTGAGGCTATGGGCAGTGTTGAGTCTATGGGCAGTGTTGAGTCTATGGTGCAATGCTGAGTCTATGGGGCAGTTCTGGGTCTATGGGGCAGTGCTGAATCTATCGGCGGTGGTGAGTCTATGGACAATGATAAGTCTATGGGCAGTTTAGAGTCTATGGACAGTGTTGAGTCTATGGGTAGTGTTGAGTCTATGGTGCAGTGTGGAGTTTATGGGGCAGTGCTGGGTCTATGGTGTAGTGATGAGTCTATGGGCAGTGGTGAGTCTATGGGCAGTGTTGAGTTTATGGTGCAGTGTTGAGTCTATGGTGCAGTGTTGAGTGTATGGGCAGTATTGAATTTATCGTGCAGTGCTGAGTCTATGGGCAGTGCTGAGTCTATGGGCAGTGGTGAGTCTTTGGGGCAGTGCTGAGTCTATGGGCAGTGGTGAGTCTATGGGCAGTGCTGAGTCTATGGGGCAGTGTTGAGTCTATGGGCAGTGGTGAGCCTATGGGGCAGTGATGAGTCTATGGTGCAGTGTTGAGTCTATGGGGCAGTGGTGAGTCTATGAGCAGTGATGAGTCTATGGTGCAGTGGTGAGTCTTTAGGCGGTGATGAGTCTATGGGGCAGTGCAGGGTATATGGTGTAGTGATGAGTCTATGGGCAGTGTTGAGTTTATGGTGCAGTGTTGAGTTTTTGGTGCAGTGTTGAGTCTATGGGGCAGTGGTGAGTCTTTGGTGCAGTGGTGAGTCCATGGGCAGTGTTGAGTATATGGTGCAGTGTTGAATGTATAGGCAGTATTGAGTTTATGGGGCAGTGCTGAGTCTATGGTTAGTGCTGAGTCTATGGGCAGTGTTGAGTTCCGGGTGCAGTGTTGGGTCTATGGTATAGTGATGAGTCTATGGGCAGTGTTGAATCTATGATGTAGTGAAGAGTCTATGGTGTAGTGATGAGTCTGTGGGCAGTGTTGACTCTATGGTGTAGTGATGAGTCTATGGTGCAGTGCTAAATCTATGGGGCAATATCGTTCATCAGGGGCAAAGGGGTTTGGCGATAACCTGAGAGATGCGTAGAGATTTCAGAAGTGACCTGACCACAGATTATAGATCAACAGGGTGGGATCGTCATCATCATCACGTGAATATTTACAGCAGCAGCTAAATTCTCTAAACGCGTGGTGACGCTGATTCTAAACGTGGAGGGAAAATCCGGTGGACCCGGATAGAAATCCACGCGACCACGGGGAGAGAGACACCTTAAACTCCAAATACACATCAGCAGCAGGCATCGTCAGGGTCGCGATCGAACCCACGACCTCCTGTAGACCAGGCGAGGTAGTCAACATCTCATAGCCACCGTGATGATGATGAGAGAGACACAAACTCCAAATATACATGAGCAGGCATCGTCAGGGTCGCGATCGAACCCACGACCTCCTGTATACCAGGCGAGGTGGTTAACATCTCCTCGCCACCGCGGCGCGAGAATGCCACAGCAGCGAGATTGTGAGTCATGCAACCCAAACTATGGACCGCACGGTAATCCCACAGAGAAAACAACAACAACAACCGCCATTCGCCACTAAGTGACAGTGACGTCACCACGACGCTTGTGCCAGGCTATGTGCACGTTGAAGCCACGTGAAGTATCGAACGCCCGCTGGCAGGAGGTCACGGGGCAGACCCAGGTGCCACGGGTCGACTGACTGAGATGACTGGCTGGTGCACCACCTGTGCCCCCTACTATGCCAACCTGCTGTGCTTTAGCCACCCGGCGCTCCGCTCGTTGTTGTGAGCGTCGCTCCTCCGCCCTCCGTTGTTGTTGGAGGGCGACTGCCTCCAACTGCCCAGTAGCAGCGTCCTTCACGAGCCTCCTCCACAGAGGCCGATCTTGACACCGCTGGTACCAGTCATCGGCAAGTCCACTCAGCTCCACGTCCTCCTGTACCACATCACTCCATCTCTTCTCTAGCCCGTGCCGCGCCCGTTTAGCCCCCTCGATCCGGCCGAACAAAAGCTGTTTCGGCATGCGGTGGCTGGGCATGCGGGCTACATGACCCAGCCAATGCAGACTTGCCTGCCGGAAGAGCTCACCGATGGAACCGTGCCCAGATCTTTCAAGGATTTGTGAGCTCCTCACACAATCCAGCATGGTGAAACCCAGGATGGATCGTAGGCAGTACAGCCTAAATGTTTCTAACAGGCGAAGATGTTCCATTAGGGGGGTCCACGTTTCGCAAGCGTAGAGAAGGGAGGGAATGACCGAGGCCGAGAAGACCTGAAGCTTAGTGCAGAGCGACAGACCAGGTAGCTTCCACACAGCGTTACGCAACCAATGAAAAGATATTGCCGCTCGACTGATTCGGAGTGAGACCTCTGCTGTTAAACTGGAGCCGGTCATGAGCACACTGCCCAGGTATGGGAAACTCTCCACTCTCCCCACAACTGCCCCATCACCGATTGGGAGTTGTGGGGGTGGAGTGTCCGATGGTACAAAATACCCAGGCAGGTGCTTAGTTTGGTGGGGCTGATGGTAAGGCCCCACCTCTTAGTGGCACGCTCCAGTCTCAGCAGCAGCGTCTCCAACTCCTCCTCTGAATGAGCAGCTATTACCAAATCATCGGCATACATAACGTGGTTGAGCAATAGGGAGCCATCCCTTGACCGCACCCGGGCATCGATCAGTCTCCCATTATATCTGTACCATATGGAGATTCCCCCGGTACAGCTATTGAAGGCTTCACGAACTACGTGGTCAAAATAGATGTTAAATAATGTGGGAGCCAGAGGACATCCCTGTCGCACCCCAAGGTGTACAGGGAATGGCTCTGACTCCCGGCCACGTAGATTTACCCGGTCCCGCTCACCATCATGAAGGTCCTTAATGATCGTGAGCAGAGGGTCAGGGACTCCAAAAGCACGAAGAACAACCCAGCGCCCAGGCCTTCTGATGGTAACATAGGCCTTGACAAGGTCAGAGACACACCACACACACACAGACATACACACAGACAGACACACAGACACACACAGACACACACACAGACACACAGAGACAGACCACACACACACAGACACGCACAGAGACACACACAGACAAAGATCCCCCGTATAGCCTTAACAGACTGTAGGGGCAAGTGCTGTTAGCGAGCACCTCTGAAGGCCAGAACGGTACACGAGGGGGTGGGTGGCCAGCACCACGCCCGACCGCCTTTGTCTCCCTAGTGGCGATATTTATACACCGCACCAGGTACTCATTTGAGGCTGAGTCGACCTAGGGGAGGCCCGGGACCGGTTCAGATAATCGTCACTGCTGTTGGCCGTGAGCGGGAATCGAACCCGGGTCGCCAGGTTCATAGCGCAGCGCGCTAACCGCTACACTACCGCTCCCCACACACACAGACACACACGCAGACACACAGACACACACACAGACACACACACAGAGACACACACACACAGACACACACACAGAGACACACAGACACACACGCAGACACACAGACACACACGCAGACACACACACAAACACACATAGACACACACAGACAGACACACACACACAGACACACACACAGACACACACAGACACAGACACACACAGACACACACAGACAGACACATACACACAGACACACACACAGACACACACAGACACACACAGACAGACACACACACAGACACACACAGAGACAGACACACACACACAGACACACACACAGACACACACAGAGTCACACACACAGACACACAGACACACACACAGACACACACAGAGACAGACACACAGACACGCAGACACACACAGAGACACACAGAGACTGAGCGACGTAGAGACCCCGAGGGATTCCAAGTGGTTACCACGCCCACCTCCACTCCCTTACGCCCCCTCACATTCCCCAACCCCCCCCACACCCCATATATGGCAATGACAACGCCCACCTCAACTCCACTACACCCCTCGCGATTCCAGCCCCCGCCCCCAGCCCCACATACGGCAACGACCACGCCCACTGAGTAACTCCCCCCCCCACCCAACCATCTCCAAGCGCCGCCCTCCCACGAAAACCCCCATATAAGGCGAACGGCCACGCCCACTCCTCGCTCCGCCCATTCCCCCCCCCCCAGAAGGGCGGACGGCCCCTATATAAGGAGCGGCCTCGGCGCGCTATCAAAGAGCGCGTGGGCAGCCGCGCGCCGGTCAAAATTTGTAGGTCTCAGAGCGTGGCCCCGGGTGGGTGGCGAATTGCAAATTGCATGGGCAGCAAACGAAAAAAAACTTTTTTTAAAAACTTCGAAGCCCCCCTGACAAGAACCCCCAGAAGGTTCCCCACGACTTGAACTTAACCCCCCCCCCCGTAAGTTTGTGAGACGGTGCATCTGCAGTGCACGCGATAGGCAATAGCCGGTAGCCGGTGTTGAACTCAGCGCGCGAGGCTTTGGCGGTGTTGACGCGCGTCATGCTGGAGGACAGAGCCTCAGAGCAGCACGTGGTGCACAAGGCGAGGTCAAGTTGCCTTCAGTTCCCAGGTAAATGACTTCCGAATGCAATTGTCCGTGTTAGATTGAGTTCTCTCTCACCCTGTTCTGTAGAGTGAGTGGAGTTTGTGTGATCTCTCTCACCCTGTTCTACAGAGTGAGTGGAGTTTGTGTGATCTCTCTCTCACCCTGTTCTACAGAGTGAGTGGAGTTTGTGTTCTCTCTCTCACCTTGTTCTACAGAGTGAGTGGAGTTTGTGTGATCTCACCTTGTTCTACAGAGTGAGTGGAGTTTGTGTGATCTCACCTTGTTCTACAGAGTGAGTGGGTGGAGTTTGTGTTCACTCTCTCACCCTGTTCTACAGAGTTAGTGGAGTTTGTGTGTTCTCTCTCTCACCCTGTACTACAAAGTGAGTGGAGTTTTTGTGTGTTATCTCTCTCACCCTATTCTACAGAGTGAGTGGAGTTTGCGTTCACTCTCTCACCCTGTTCTACAGAGTGAGTGGAGTTTGTGTTCTCTCTCTCACCCTGTTCTGTAGAGTGAGTGGAGTTTGTGTGATCTCTCTCACCCTGTTCTACAGAGTGAGTGGAGTTTGTGTGTTCTCTCTCTCACCCTGTTCTGTAGAGTGAGTGGAGTTTGTGTTCTCTCTCTCACCTTGTTCTACAGAGTGAGTGGAGTTTGTGTGATCTCACCTTGTTCTACAGAGTGAGTGGAGTTTGTGTGATCTCACCTTGTTCTACAGAGTGAGTGGGTGGAGTTTGTGTTCACTCTCTCACCCTGTTCTACAGAGTTAGTGGAGTTTGTGTGTTCTCTCTCTCACCCTGTACTACAAAGTGAGTGGAGTTTGTGTGTTATCTCTCTCACCCTATTCTACAGAGTGAGTGGAGTTTGCGTTCACTCTCTCACCCTGTTCTACAGAGTGAGTGGAGTTTGTGTTCTCTCTCTCACCCTGTTCTACAGAGTGAGTGGAGTTTGTGTGTTCTCTCTCACCCTGTTCTACAGAGTGAGTGTAGTTTGTGTGTTCACTCTCACCTTGTTCTACAGAGTGAGTGGAGTTTGTGTGTTCTCTCTCACCCTGTTCTACAGAGTGAGTGGAGTTTGTGTTCTCTGTCTCACCTTGTTCTACAGAGTGAGTGGAGTTTGTGTGTTCTCTCTCTCACCTTGTTCTACAGAGTGAGTGGAGTTTGTGTGATCTCCCCCTGTTCTACAGAGTGAATGGAGTTTGTGTGATCTCCTCCTGTTCTACAGAGTGAGTGGAGTTTGTATGATCTCCCCCTGTTCTACAGAGTGAGTGGAGTTTGTGAGATCTCCCCCTGTTCTACAGAGTGAGTGGAGTTTGTGTGTTCTCTGTCTCACCCTGTTCTACAGAGTGAGTGGAGTTTGTGTTCTCTCTCTCACCCTGTTCTACAGAGTGAGTGGAGTTTGTGTTCTCTCTCTCACCATGTTCTGTAGAGTGAGTGGAGTTTGTGTGTTCACTCTCACCTTGTTCTACAGAGTGAGTTGAGTTTCTGTGTTCTCTCTCTCACCCTGTTCTACAGAGTGAGTGCAGTGTGTGTGTTCTCTCTCTCACCTTGTTCTACAGAGTGAGTGAGTGGAGTTTGTGTGATCTCTCCCTGTTCTACAGAGTGAGTGAGTGGAGTTCGTGTGATCTCCCCCTGTTCTACAGAGTGAGTGAATGGAGTTTGTGTGATCTCCCCCTGTTCTACAGAGTGAGTGGAGTTTGTGTGATCTCCCCCTGTTCTACAGAGTGAGTGGAGTTTGTGTGTTCTCTCTCTCACCTTGTTCTACAGAGTGAGTGGGTGGAGTTTATGTGATCTCCCCCTGTACTACAGAGTGAGTGAGTGAGTGGAGTTTGTATGATCTCCCTCTGTTCTACAGAGTGAGTGGAGTTTGTCTGTTCTCTCTCTCACCCTGTTCTACAGAGTGAGTGGAGTTTGTGTGTTATCTCTCTCACCCTGTTCTACAGAGTGAGTGGAGTTTGTGTGTTCTCTCTCTCACCTTGTTCTACAGAGTGAGTGAGTGGAGTTTGTGTGATCTCCCCCTGTTCTACAGAGTGAGTGAGTGGAGTTCGTGTGATCTCCCCCTGTTTTACAGAGTGAGTGAGTGGAGTTTGTGTGATCTCCCCCTGTTCTACAGAGTGAGTGGAGTTTGTATGATCTCCCCCTGTTCTACAGAGTGAGTGGAGTTTGTGTGATCTCTCTCTCACCCTCTTCTACAGAGTGAGTGGAGTTTGTGTGTTCTCTCTCTCACCTTGTTCTACAGAGTGAGTGGAGTTTGTGTGGTCTCCCCCTGTACTACAGAGTGTGTGGAGTTTGTGTGTTCTCTCTCTCTCTCTCCTGCCCTGTTCTGTAGAGTGAGTGGAGTTTGTCCAACATTAAATTATAGTTTCCAATTGAGATGTAAAAGTGTGCGGCTCTGAGTGGCTTCCAAAGGTCGGCGTCGCTGGGTGAGCCGAGGTTCGCAATCACAAAGTGATCACAAAGTGATCTCTCTCTCGTCCTGAAAGTGATCACAAAGTGATTCCTTTTCACAATCCGACACCGTGACGTGGCCAGCCGTGCGAATCGGTGGTGGAATGCCACTCCATGGGTAGTGTCAGTCTATGGGTAGTGTAACTCCATGTGCAGTGTCATTCGATGTGTAGTGTCAGTCTATGGGCAGTGTCAGTCTATGGGTAGTGTCAGTCTATGGGTAGTGTCAGTCTATGGGCCGTGTAGTCTATGGGTAGTGTCAGTCTATGGGTAGTGTCAGTCCATGTGTAGTGTCAGTCTATGGGCAGTGTCAGTCTATGGGCAGTGTCAGTCTATGGGTAGTGTCAGTCTATGGGTAGTGTCAGTCTATGGGTAGTGTCAGTCTATGGGCAGTGTCAGTCTATGGGTAGTGTCAGTCTATGGGCCGTGTCAGTCTATGGGTAGTGTCAGTCTATGGGTAGTGTCAGTCCATGTGTAGTGTCAGTCTATGGGCAGTGTCAGTCTATGGGCAGTGTCAGTCTATGGGTAGTGTCAGTCTATGGGTAGTGTCAGTATATGGGTAGTGTCAGTCTATGGGTAGTGTCAGTCTATGGGCAGTGTCAGTCTATGGGTAGTGTCAGTCTATGGGTAGTGTCAGTCTATGGGTAGTGTCAGTCTATGTGTAGTGTCAGTCTATGGGTAGTGTCAGTCTATGTGTAGTGTCAGTCTATGGGTAGTGTCAGTCTATGGGTAGTGTCAGTCTATGGGTAGTGTCAGTCTATGGGCAGTGTCAGTCTATGGGCAGTGTCAGTCTATGGGTAGTGTCAGTCTATGGGTAGTGTCAGTCTATGGGTAGTGTCAGTCTATGTGTAGTGTCAGTCTATGGGCCGTGTCAGTCTATGGGCAGTGTCAGTCTATGGGCAGTGTCAGTCTATGGGCAGTGTCAGTCTATGGGCAGTGTCAGTCTATGGGCAGTGTCAGTCTATGGGTAGTGTCAGTCTATGGGTAGTGTCAGTCTATGGGTAGTGTCAGTCTATGGGTAGTGTCAGTCTATGGGTAGTGTCAGTCTATGGGCAGTGTCAGTCTATGGGTAGTGTCAGTCTATGGGTAGTGTCAGTCTATGGGCCGTGTCAGTCTATGGGTAGTGTCAGTCTATGGGCAGTGTCAGTCTATGGGTAGTGTCAGTCTATGGGCCGTGTCAGTCTATGGGTAGTGTCAGTCTATGGGTAGTGTCAGTATATGGGTAGTGTCAGTCTATGGGTAGTGTCAGTCTATGGGCAGTGTCAGTCTATGGGTAGTGTCAGTCTATGGGTAGTGTCAGTCTATGGGTAGTGTCAGTCTATGTGTAGTGTCAGTCTATGGGTAGTGTCAGTCTATGTGTAGTGTCAGTCTATGGGTAGTGTCAGTCTATGGGTAGTGTCAGTCTATGGGTAGTGTCAGTCTATGGGCAGTGTCAGTCTATGGGCAGTGTCAGTCTATGGGTAGTGTCAGTCTATGGGTAGTGTCAGTCTATGGGTAGTGTCAGTCTATGTGTAGTGTCAGTCTATGGGCCGTGTCAGTCTATGGGCAGTGTCAGTCTATGGGCAGTGTCAGTCTATGGGCAGTGTCAGTCTATGGGCAGTGTCAGTCTATGGGCAGTGTCAGTCTATGGGTAGTGTCAGTCTATGGGTAGTGTCAGTCTATGGGTAGTGTCAGTCTATGGGTAGTGTCAGTCTATGGGTAGTGTCAGTCTATGGGTAGTGTCAGTCTATGGGTAGTGTCAGTCTATGGGTAGTGTCAGTCTATGGGCCGTGTCAGTCTATGGGTAGTGTCAGTCTATGGGCAGTGTCAGTCTATGGGTAGTGTCAGTCTATGGGCCGTGTCAGTCTATGGGTAGTGTCAGTCTATGGGTAGTGTCAGTCCATGTGTAGTGTCAGTCTATGGGCAGTGTCAGTCTATGGGCAGTGTCAGTCTATGGGTAGTGTCAGTCTATGGGTAGTGTCAGTCCATGTGTAGTGTCAGTCTATGGGCAGTGTCAGTCTATGGGTAGTGTCAGTCTATGGGCAGTGTCAGTCTATGGGTAGTGTCAGTCTATGGGCCGTGTCAGTCTATGGGTAGTGTCAGTCTATGGGTAGTGTCAGTCCATGTGTAGTGTCAGTCTATGGGTAGTGTCAGTCTATGGGTAGTGTCAGTATATGGGTAGTGTCAGTCTATGGGTAGTGTCAGTCTATGGGCAGTGTCAGTCTATGGGCAGTGTCAGTCTATGGGTAGTGTCAGTCTATGGGTAGTGTCAGTCTATGGGTAGTGTCAGTCTATGTGTAGTGTCAGTCTATGGGTAGTGTCAGTCTATGTGTAGTGTCAGTCTATGGGTAGTGTCAGTCTATGGGTAGTGTCAGTCTATGGGTAGTGTCAGTCTATGGGCAGTGTCAGTCTATGGGCAGTGTCAGTCTATGGGCAGTGTCAGTCTATGGGTAGTGTCAGTCTATGGGTAGTGTCAGTCTATGGGTAGTGTCAGTCTATGGGCAGTGTCAGTCTATGGGTAGTGTCAGTCTATGGGCAGTGTCAGTCTATGGGCAGTGTCAGTCTATGGGCCGTGTCAGTCTATGGGTAGTGTCAGTCTAT